GGCAGGTGCCTGTAGTCCCAGCGACTTGGGAGACTGAGGCAGGAGAATTGCTTAAGCCCAAGAGTCTGAAGTTGCTGTGAACTGTGATGCCACAGCACTCTACCAAAGGCAACAGCTTGAGACTGTCTCAAAACAACAAAAAAAAAGAATTAGGATAAGAACAGTAAAGAACAGCAGAGAAAGTAAGCTAAACTCTTTGAGAAACAAGGAGTGGTCATCTAGGGGGCCTGGTATCAAGAAAGTAGGGTGGGAAGTGTTGAGACGTGAGCTTCAGGACGGGGGAGTGGTTTCCAGAGGGACAGTGGGAAACAAGGTGACCAATCCCCCAACTTGGGCAGGCTGCAGAGGTGAAGGGCCAGGCTCTGCTTAGAGCAAGAAAGGGAAAGAGCATTTCCTTTTGAGACAGAATCTCAAGCTGTTGCCCTGGGTAAAGTGCTGTCACATCATAGCTCACAGAAACCTCCAACTCTTGGGCTCAAGGGATCTTCTTGCCTCAGTTTTTGTATTTTTAGTAGGGATGGGGGTCTCGATCTTGCTCAGGCTGGTCTTGAACTAGTGAGCTCAAGTAATCCAGTCACCTTGGCCTCCCAGAGTGCTAGGATTACAGGCATGAGCCACTGCAACCGGCCCTTTTATTTTTGAGACACAGTCTGACTCTGTCACCCTAGGCAAAGTGCCATGGCATCACAGTTCACAGCAACCTCAAACTTTTGGGTTCCAGAGATCCTCTCTGCCTCAGCCTCCTGAGTAGCTAAGACCATAGGCACCTACCACAATGCTCGGATAGTTTTTTATTTTTAGTTATTTTTAGTACAGATGAGGTCTCACTCTTGCCCAGGCTGGTCTGGAACTCATGAGCTCAAGCAATCCACCTGCTTTGGCTTCCCAAAATGCTAGGATTACAGGTGTGAGTTGGGTGCCTGGCCAGAAGAGAGCATTTAAAGAGGCCGAGGAGATGGAGGACTTCTGCTCATGATTAATGGTGTGTACTAAAAGAGCCCAGTGGCAAAATAGGGTAAGGGGGACAGGGTCACCCTCACTCTTGTGCTACAGGGATGATCTGTGAGGCCTGGCTTCAGGCAAGGATTACGATTCCATGAGATCAGGCACACAAAGCAATGAACACAGGGCCCATCAACAGCAGGTAGCCAATAAACATGCATGATCATTACTTTTTAGCCCATTCTGTTCAACATGGCCTGGCCAACCACCCTGCCCCTGGACCAAGGGAAGTTACCCAGAAAGCCTGGAAATGGCAGGTCTCCAGCAGGTCTCCCAGGTACAAAATCTGTCGGATCGGCCGTTCTTCTTGCTGCCAGTAGGAGGAATTAAGAGAAAACAGCCTCAGGAACTGAGGAGGCTGGAGCTGGGCCCTAGACCACCTGTCCCCAACCACCACCTTCTATACCCTTTCTTCCAAAGGTTTAGCTCAGAAAAATAAATGGAGGGCCAGGTGCAGTGGCTCATGCCCATAATCCTAGCACTCTGAGAAGCTGACTGAGGCGGGTGAATCACTTGAGGAGTTCAAGATCAGCCTAAGCAAAAGTGAGACCCCCTTGTCTACTAAAAACCAGCCAGGCATTGTGGCGGGTGTTTATTGTCCTGGATACTTGAAGATCCCTTGAGCCCAGGAGTTTGAGGTTGCTGTGAGCTATGATGCCATAACTCTAGCATGGGCAAGAGTGAGACTCTGTCTGAAAAAAAAAAAAAAGGCTCGGTGCCTGTGGCTCAGAGGCTAGGGCACCAGCCACATATGCCAGAGCCGATGGGTTTGAACTCAGCCCAAACATGCCAAAACAATGAAGACAACTATGAAAACAAAAGTAGCTGGGCAATGTGGCAGGCAC